GCATTATTTTCTGTTCCCAAATTAACACATTTTATGTGAAAGATTCATTGGATTTAAATAAATAATTTCAAAATTTATTAGTAAGGGTCATAATAGTCATATATAAAGAGAGTTGTTTGAATGTTAGCTTCTAAGAGAAATGGGAGTCCCTTTAATCTTTTGAAATATGGTGAAATGTGATAGAAATAAATATAATACTTGCTTAAGAAATTGGAGGAAACCAGAAATTACTTTTGAATGTTCAAATGAATTATAATGAAGAGTTTCTTATGGTTAGGAAAGGTTTTCTATATAACGTGAAGGAATAAAATTGTTCAGATGGTGGTGGGAAGAGTAATAACAAGGGCTCATGTTTTGAAGAGTCTTGCATACTGTGTCTGGAAGGATTCTATATGCTGTGTACTGTATTCAGTCAAAATTGGCAACAAGAAGACTTCGGAAAATTTCAAGCTAGAATGGAGTGATTAGATTTATAATTTAGAAACAGTAGTCTCCATTTCTTGAAATGAGTCTATGAAGACTGAAAATTTCAGTATTCATTGACAGCACTATCTTGGCTTAGTAAGATATGATTGTAATGATAATATTGGTTTATTTCAACATCTAACAAGTACCGCTTTGTGTATGGGTATGAACATCTAATTCAAGACTGGAATTCTGAAGTTACTTCAAAACCCGGCTCCACTGTTTATAGTTGTTTGAATTTAAACAAGCCTTTTGAAGTCTCAGTTTCCTCATCTGTAAAATAATTTGATATGAAATTATTTATTTAAATGAATATACAGCCCACTGGACTGAAATCAACAATTTGTTTTACTGTATATTACCCCAGTTCCTAATCAACTGTCAATAACATAATAGGCTGCTTAATAAATATTTATTTAATGATTTTATGCTGACAACTGGCAAAAAGATTTTTTTTTTTTTAGAGAGAGAGAGAGAATTTTTTAAAATATTTTTTAGTTATCGGTGGACACAACATCTTTGTTTTGTATGTGGTGCTGAGGATCGAACCCAGGCCGCATGCATGCCAGGCGAGCGTGCTACTGCTTGAGCCACTTCCCCAGCCCCAAGAATTTTAATTAAATGTTTTTTTAATTTGTTCTAATTATGCATGATAGCAGAATGCATTTCGACTCATTGTACACAAATGATAATTTGATATGGTTCTTAGAAATAATAAGGATAATTAATGTAATGGACTTATTTTTGCCTTTAGTCAGCACTCCATAATTGTTATACTTTAAAAAAATTAATCTTTATAATCTTCTTATATAATATTACCTGTCTTGCAGATGAGGAAATGGAATTCAGAAATCTTTACTTCAATATTTATAGTACAAACATTGTCAAGTACAATATTTTAATCTGAGCCTCTGTTCCCTAGACCTAAAAAGCATGCTGTGTTGCTGTTCCAGTACTGAGTGATCAGTAGAAGTTGATAAAGAATGTATCACTGGTAGTTTGAGGTTTGACTGGCTTGCCTTAGAATTTCTAGGCCCAAGATGTACTTTTCCTTATCTCTTCTAATGTCTTTGTCCTAATAAAGCATAAATCTAATAAATAAGTTGCTACTTCATTTTATATTATTTTAATTTTTTATTAGCTTTGTTGAGAACTAAGCATGGTAGTGCACACTTGTAATCTCAGCTACAAAGGGAGGCTAAGTCAGGAGTATTCCAAATTGAAGTTCGGCCTAAGCAAGTTAATAAGATTCTGTCTCAAAATATAATAGAAAGGGGTTAGGTATATAGCTTAGTGGTGGAGCACTTGCCTATCATGTGCAGAGCCCTAGGTTCTATTCCGAGCAGTACATAAAAGGTAAAATTGAAATAAAAAGCTTTATTGAAGCAAATTGTCATTTATATGTCATTTATATGTGTGTGTGTGTGTGTGTGTGTGTATAAATTTAGCATATGAACTGTGCTGCCATAAACTTTGATGTGGCTGTGTTATTTAACAGACTTTTATTACAAGTTTTTAGTCCAATTATATATATATATAATATAATATGGCTACTTTATATGTATATATAATATATATATAATATACATATATATATTAATTTAGCATGTGAAACTGTCACCACAATCAAAACATCTATAATCATCATTTCTAAAAGATGATTTTAATCCACATAATCTGTCGTCTTCTTTAATGCTACCTACCGCCATCACTATGCATCTACTTCATTCTTTGGAACAGATTTGATTATGTGTGCTAGACTTTTATATCAGTGAATAAAATATGTATTCCATTTTTGTCTGGTCTCTTTCATTCAACAGGATTGTTTTGAGATTTCTGTATTTTGTTACAGGTCTCAAGAATTCATTTCTTTCTATCGCTCTATAGTATTCTGTCAGTGAATATGTAACATTTTGTTATCCTTTCAGCTATTGAGTGATCTGTGAGTTGTTTTCCTATTTTGTACTCTAACAAATAAAATTTTTATTTTTGTTTGCATATATATTTCCTTTCACTTGAGTTAATCTTAGAAAGGAGATATAGCTGGAATATCTGTTAGGTATATGTTTATTTAACTTTTTAAGCATTAACAAATTGTTTTCCAAAGTAATTTTACACCTCTGCCATCAGTTTGTGTGAATTACAGTTCCTCCAAATCCTCATTAACATTTTTAATTTGCTTTTAATTTTAAAAATAAAAAATTTTGTCACTTTTAAAGATTTAATCTATTTGAATATTTACAAATTGTTACTGCGACATGCATTTTTTAATGACTAATGATGCTGAGTATCTTTGTATATGTGTGTGCACTTATTTGCCATCTTTATATTTTCCTTGGTGAAATGACTGTTTATATATTTTGTCTGTTTTTGAAGTTGCACTGTTTTCTGATTATTATATTTAGAAAATTATATATTCTGAATACAAGGACTTTATGTTTTGCAAATATTTTTATCCCATTATATGACTTCTCTTTTTTTTAACAGTGTCTTGAAAATCATGTTTTTCATTTTGCTTAAGTCCAGTTTATCAGTTTGTTCATGTTCATTTTATCTGCACAGACTTTTTGATATAAAATTGTTCTTAATATTTTTTTAATCACTCTTTAATTTTCTGTAGCATCTGTGGTGATACCACCTTTTTCGTTCTTGACAGGGCCAATTTGTGTCTTTTCTAGTTTTACTTTGAAAGATAAAGTAGCCATTTATTTGAAATCTTTCTTCTTAATATTGAAAGTTACTGCTAGAGATTTTCTGCTAGATATTGCTTTTCCAACATCTGTAAATACTTATATATATGAAAATTCTCGTTTTCTTTAGTTAAGAATATTTATTAATGTCCCATTAGAATTTCTTTTCATTAATACCTTATTTAGGAAGTAAGTCATTTAGTTTTAATTTGTTGAATATCCTTATCCAAAAATGTTGAGAGTATAAATATTTTTAAATTTCAGATTTTTTAAAAAATTCACAATATTAGCATATGCATAATGAGATTACTGGGGGATAGGAAGTAAGACTGAAGGCAAAATTCACTTTATGTTTCATATACATCTTTATATATAGCCTGAAGACAATTTTGTACATTTTAATAATTTTGTGCATGAAACCAGATTTCCTGATGTGAATACATTTAGATTGGTACTTAAAAAGTTTTGGATTTGTGAGCATTTTGGATTTTCAGGTTAGGGATGCTTAACTTGTATTTGGATGTTTTCTAAGAAACTTTCTAATAAGGATAACTAATTTAATTTCATTGTGATCAGAGAGCAGATTTTATAAGATTTGTTTTTTCAGTTTATCAAGACCAATGCAGGTATGTTTATATTTTATGAAACAGTATATATTATATCTTCACAAATGTTCAATAACATTGGGGGAGAAAGTGTATTCTATTTTTAGATGAATAAATTTAATCAGGTGAAATTGGTTGACAGTACTGTTTGGTTTACTGTAACCTTGCTGGTTTTCATATCAGTAATATTTTCTCTACAACTTTTGGAGAGGGACAATGAAATATTTTACTGTTCTGGTGGAGATTTCTATTTTTCTTTGCATATCTACTGTTTTTGCTTTATTATTTTTAAGACCTATTTTTAAATATGTAAATATTTGAGATTTAATATCCTGGTGATTAATTCATCTCTTTGTAATTATGAAATGAATTTCATTATTGCTGGCAATATTCTTGGCTTCAAAATTTATTTTTTTCTGACATTTATGTCATTCTTGTTTCCTGTGATTAATCTCAACACCCATTTTGTTTACTCTTAGACATTTTAGTTTTTGTCAGTTAGGATTCTTCACATAGGAAGACTTAAGGAAAAATTATTTTACCAATCTATGTGTTAGTGTTTTCTGTTAAGAGGACATATTATTACATATCATATAATTTTTTGAGGATTAAATGAAGAAATAATAGCAAAGTATCTACAACTGCATTTGCTGCAGTATGAACTTTATGTAATATGTAAATCTTTGACTGTTGTTCCTAATATTACTGCTTTGTTTTTAAAAACTTTTAAAAGAATTTTTTATAAAATATTGAAATAGAATTTCCCATTTATTTATATCTCTAGGAAGTTTTTTGTTTGCTCTATCACTAGTCATTTTCAAATTAAATGAAGTAGAACATTATCATGAAATTTCTAAAGAAACTTGAACTTTAAAATATCTTCACTTAATTTTACTTTGATACATTATTAATTTATCATTGTTTTGTACTTACATATTGTGTGTACAAAAATGCCAGTGTAGTCTCATTTCATATTTATTAAGTTGTCATTTCCAAATGCATTAGAATTGGGTAACAGTTGTATTTTTTCACAACTTTTCACAATTTATCATAAGTTCAAAATGTATTTTTTCACAACTTTTCACAATTTATTGTAAGTTCAAAAATAGGACGTACTAGAAACTGAACAAATTCTTTTTTTAAAACTCAAAGAGAATTAATGTTTGTATTTTATGTTTTGTATGAGTTCTTCACATTATCATAATTTATAATGAATGATGCTTTTTTTTTTTTTTAATAGATTGGACAGTTGGCTTTTAAAGGAATGAGGAGACTTAACAGAATTCAGTCAATAGTATTTGAGACGGCCTACAACACCAATGAGAACATGTTGATTTGTGCCCCTACTGGAGCTGGAAAGACCAATATTGCAATGCTTACAGTCTTACATGAAATTCGCCAACATTTTCAACAAGGTGTTATCAAAAAGAATGAATTTAAGGTAAGTAAATAACAAACAATAGCTTTTTAAATCCTAAGAATTAAAATAAGCTTGTAGTTATATATGTTAAATGAAATCTGGAAGTTCTTTAGGATATTTACTGTACTTGAATTCACACAACTAATACTGCTTGAGTTACTTCATTATTAAGGTAGTCCCTATTTGTTTTATGAAAATCCTATTACCCTTGTGAAAAGCTATGAAAATACATTTAGCTTTGAAGCAGAACCAATTTTCCAAATGATAAAGCTATGTAAACAAATTCCGTTGTACTTTAAATAGCTACCCACTTATCCAACAAAGATAATACTTTTCATATATCACTATTAAGATTTTTTTCTCACAGGAAGTAGCTGGAATCATATTTCACAATAAATTGTGACTTATATTGGCTACTGTGAAGCAAATGACATTGTAGTGTTTGCTCATTCATCAAGCTAGTTGTTCCTTTGATCACAGATTGTATATGTTGCTCCAATGAAAGCCTTGGCAGCTGAAATGACAAATTACTTCAGTAAACGTCTAGAGCCACTGGGTATCATTGTGAAAGAATTGACTGGTGATATGCAGTTGTCAAAAAATGAAATTTTACGAACTCAGGTATGTTATTTACCTAGATTTTTTTTTTTAACTTGGTACTTTTTTTAAGGTAATTGTGAAAATTATTTAACAACTATATTTTAAGAAACTATAGTATATAATACAAACATAATGTAATGAACTACTTTTATTTGTAACCACATATTAAATCTGCACTACAGAAGAAGTTTTGCTGGTGCTTTGACTTATATCCTTTCTAATTTTGGTGATATTCACTGTATTTTGAATATTATTAATTTCCAAGTTTAAATTTTAGGTCTGCTAATATTAAATATTGTTTTTTTTAAACCATTAGGGAATGGGAATATGGTTGGTTAAGATCTTAAATGATTCCTCTAGTATTCTAAGCCATTTAATAAGGTTAGCTTAATATATAATAAAAAATTAATTATTCATTTTAAAAAAAATATTTTAAGTTGAAGTTGAACACAACACCTTGGTCAACACAACACACTGGGTATCCACATGTAGAAGAAAAGATCTTTAAAACTCACCCTGTACAAAATAAAGTCAATGTAAATTAAAGACCTATGTATAAGACCAGAAACTCTGTAAATGTTTGGGTAAAAAAATGGGGGAAACACTTCAACATTTTGTTGAAGGCAGAGCTTCTTGAATAGGATCCCTGGAGCTCAGGAAATAAAGAGAAAGAACCAATGAAGGGGGTGGCATCAAATTAAAAAGTTTCTGCACAGCAAACGAAACAATAGTTTTAAAAGACAGCCTTCAGAAAGAGAAAATCTTTGCCAGCTGCTCTTCCAACAGGATTAATATCCAGACTATAGAAAGAAATACAAAATATTCAACACCAAAAATATCAACTAACTCATTCAATAAGTGGGAAAATGAATTGAATATCACTTCTCAAAAGAAGTAGTACAAATGACCAGCAACTGTGGGAAAAATATCCACCCTCTTTATGCATCAGCAAAATCCAAATCAAAATTATATTCCATCTCACTTAAGTTAGAATAGCAACCATCAAGAATACAAACAACAATAAAAGCTGGGAAGGAACATGGACAAAGGAAATTTTATACACAGTTAATGGGGATGTAAATAAAACTCCTGTGGAAATCAGTATGGAGGTTCCTCAAGAAATTAAGTAGATTACCATATGATCCAGCTATGTATCACTCCTTAGCATTTGTTTAAAAGATTTAAAGTCAGCATACAATACATGCATGCCCATCTTTATCACAGCACAATTTACAGTAGCCAGATTATGTAATCAGCCTATGTGTCTGTCAATAAATATATAAATAAAGCAAAATAACAATAATAATACACACAATGAAGAATTATTCAACCATAAAGAACAAAATTATGTCATTTATAGTACAATGGAAATGCAGAGTATCCAGTTAAGTTTAATATGCCAGCCTCACAAAGACAAGTAGTAGATTTTCTTACATATGTGGAAATTAGAGGGGAAAGGGGGAAAAAGATCATGAATACTATTAGTATACACAAGGATACTATTAGTATACACAAGGAAGAGAGGAAAGTGGAGGGTGGAAGAGGTATTGGGAAGTGAATGGGATCAAATTATGTTATATGCATGTAGGAATATGCTACAATGAAACTCATCTCCTGTATAATTGATAATACACCAATAAAAAATTTTAAATTGTATTCAATGTTGAACCTGTAAAGGTTCATAATACCATTTTGCTCCTCTTCCTTACTGGTATTAATTTCTTAATATAGTTATTATTGAATTTTTAAGTATTTAAAAAGCATTTTTTTCTTTTACTAGCAGTGAAGGCAGGAAGTATATTTTTAAAATATTGCTGCTCTTTTTATATTATAACCCCATACATTTAAAAATAATATTTGTATAGAATCTTTTCCAAATTTGTTTTTCTAAAAATCAGTACTTATAGTCACTATATTAAGTTCAAAATGCCTTTATTGTTCATAATTTAAATCAGCCTCTGCCTAGGAATATTTTAATAATTTCTTTAAATGCCTTTGAATTAAAAGGATTTTCTTAAATCTGGTAGATAAATACATTTTTAATATTCTCTTGAAATTCAAGTTTGATGCTATCCAGGCTTTTCCTTGAAATAGTTTAAATTGGTTTTGTCAAAGAATCCATTCAATTATCACTTGATAGCAAAGGTAACAATTATATTCTTTTTATTAACAAATTTTTATTCTTTTCATATAATGTATACACTTAACACAAGGAACTGAATTTTGTTTAAAATTTTCAGGACAAACAATAAAAAGAAGGGAGTTTTATAGATTTGTATATCATTTATGGATACATTAGAATTTTAAGTTTGTACATATTTTTGTTAAAGTAAGTTTATGTTTGATTTCATTTTGTTTCTTTATTGAACCCAAGTACATTCTCTACCACTGAGCTACCTTGTGATGTTGAGACAGTCTAAATTGCCCAGGATGACCTCCAAATTGCTGTCCTTCTGCCTCAACCTCCTGAGTCTCTTAAGATTTCAGGTGTATGATAACACACTTGGCTATGATTGGTTTTAAGTCTTTCTTTTAGAACTAGCTAAACCTAACTACAGACATCATTATCTCAAAATCACATATCAGTCTGATACATAATTTTGTAGAGTTTTATTTTTATTTCATGATTATTTTTAAAGGCATATGTGTTTGGAATTTGTATTTATTAAGTCTTCTTTATTCCAAATAAAATTTCCTAAAATTGAAATCATTCTGAATTGTCTTGATATTGAACCTACAATATATTTTACATAAAAAAATTGAGGTTTTCATCCTGGTTTGTGTAAAGAGTGCCAACTGAAGAAATACTAAAATGCTTTATTTTCCTCTTATTGCTTGCAAGTATAGCTTTAAGAAATTTTTTTATAAATGCAAAGTTTAACTGGACATTTTTGTTTCACTGCTGCTTCAAGACCAGGGTTATTCTACTATATCTTCTTGCTTTAGTCTTTCTTCACACCATTAAGAAACTCATTAAAACAAACATAATACCTTCATTGATTTAGTCATCCCCATTGTTATAAAGCAACAGTAGTTGAAATGTGGTCTGAAGTGTCCAGAGTTTCTGTAGTTGAATTCAAGAGATTCTACAGTTAAAAACCAATTTTTATAGTGGTGTTTTCTATTTGTGTGCTACTGGTGATTGAATCCTGGGCCTTGTGCATGCTAGGCAAGCCCTCTCTACTACTGAGCTGTATCCCCAGCACTGTGATGTTGTTATCTTTTACTATCAGTCTCACAGTAGGATTTTTTCAGAGGCTGCACACTGTATGTGGTGATGTCATAAACACTGTAGCTTATAGAACAAGTACTTTGTGTTCCGCTATCGTGAAAAAAAGGAAAAAGTATAAAGGAATCCCTAAGTAAAAATATTTTGAGAACCACTACTATAGAGGGTGTTACTTATATCTGACATTGGCTGCTCTTTGAAATCTCAGTCCAGTAGGCTTGTCAACCTTATCTTTAGACTGCTTCCTAATATAAACTTCAGCCAGACCATTTTTGTTTTTTCTAAAATAATATTGCTCAAATAACATTTTCTCAAATGAACATTGCTCTTTGATAAGTTTTCTCACACATTTTCTCCTTTTAATAACTTCCTTTGTCCATTTCCATTTGTCCAAATCTTAAATGTTCTACAAAATCAATTTTAAAACCTATAGACAGAATCCTTTAGTACCATTCATTTATATTTATAAAATAGTACCTAGTGCACAGTCTGTACTTTTGGATGTTATGTAGTCTTAGAAATCTGGATCACTATCAAATAAAATTTTGATTGTTCTTGTACTATATCCAACTATATTACCAATGCTAATGAGAGAATATTTATGTAAAGAAAAAGGAAAGTAACATTTAAATTCAACTTATGAGCCAGTCACTATGCTAAATACATGTGTATCCTCCCTCAATCCTCACAAAATCCCTGTTGAGGAGTGTCTTCGCTTTGCAGATGCAGAAAATAAGACTCTATATTTATGTATTTTAAAGGTATATGAATATGTCCCCATACTTTTTTCCTTTGCTAGATATGTCCTAGTTCCTTTGTCAGTAGTTTTGACTATAAGGGCAGGGACTGTGTGCTTGGCCTGAGGAATAGTTATAAACAATGTCCTATGTTAAGCTTGCTTTTTAATTTTTTTCCTCTAATACTAATTGGATGCTAATTGTTATAGAACTGAAACTACATAGTTAATAACCTCTATCCTTTCCCTCTATCCATCTCACAGATTCTAACAGATTGAAAGACTGCTATCATGGTCTTTTGGATTGGGCTATAGAAAGAACAAAGCAGGAAGTAAAGCAAAGCATGTGGGAAAAAACTCATATTCAAGTTTTATTTTTAACCCTCCTTTTTCTACTTTTATCAATTTTGTAATTTTAATAGCTTTTAAAATTATTTCCATTTTATATTTTTTGGTAAGTTTCCCAATATTTAACTAAATTAAATATATTTTAAATTTTCCTCTGATTTTATCGGTGTGGGTACTATTACCCCCCTCCCTCCTTTTTTCTTTTAAATATGGGAAGGCAAATTAATCTCATTTGCAAATTTTCTGTCATGCTGCTCTGATCATATTATTTCCTTGCTCATAAACTTTCATTGGTTCTTTATTGCTTATTGAGTTAAGTCCAACTACCTAGCTTGTTAGGAGTCTTGTATAAATTAAATGTAATATGAGATGTGATCTATTTTGTGGTTCAAGAGGGACCATCAGGTCTAGTAGCAATTATGATTTTATTGAGACTTGAATATAAAATTTTCTTTTATGAGACATAATTATATAATTCTAAGATTTATTATCAGGAGAAATAGTTAATACAGACAACAAATACTTTTTTGGTGTTCAGCCAAAAAGTAATTTTGATCAACTTTGAAAAAATTCAATAATTTGTCATTGCTAAAAACATGGATCTAACTTTTCAGATCCATGTTATATAAGGATAAGGATCTTTTTTTATATTTCATTGTTCCCTACTATTAATTTTGAAGTTATAAAACACTGGTCATATACTTTAGA